ATGAATAGAATATGTATTCTTTGGTTTAGATTGGTTTGGTTTATTTTGTTTTACGGCATATCAACCTCAATGGGTTATTTAATACCGACAACGGTTTTAGGATAGATTCGTATGAATAGAATATGTATTCTTTGGTTTAGATTGGTTTGATTTATTTTGTTTTACGGCATATCAACCTCAATGGGTTATTTAATACCGACAACGTTTTTTTTGGATAGATTCGTATGAATAGAATATGTATTCTTTGGTTTAGATTGGTTTGATTTATTTTGTTTTACGGCATATCAACCTCAATGGGTTATTTATTACCGACAACGGTTTTAGGATAGATTCATTATGAATAGAGTATGTATTCTTTGGTTTAGATTGGTTTGATTTATTTTTGTTTTTACGGCATATCAACCTCAATGGGTTATTTATTACCGACAACGGTTTTAGGATAGATTCGTATGAATAGAGTATGTATTCTTTGGTTTAGATTGGTTTGATTTATTTTGTTTTACGGCATATCAACCTCAATGGGTTATTTATTACCGACAACGGTTTTAGGATAGATTCGTATGAATAGAATATGTATTCTTTGGTTTAGATTGGTTTGATTTATTTTGTTTTACGGCATATCAACCTCAATGGGTTATTTATTACCGACAACGGTTTTAGGATAGATTCGTATGAATAGAGTATGTATTCTTTGGTTTAGATTGGTTTGATTTATTTTGTTTTACGGCATATCAACCTCAATGGGTTATTTATTACCGACAACCGTTTTAGGATAGATTCGTATGAATAGAATATGTATTCTTTGGTTTAGATTGGTTTGATTTATTTTGTTTTACAGCATATCAACCTCAATGGGTTATTTATTACCGACAACGGTTTTAGGATAGATTCGTATGAATAGAGTATGTATTCTTTGGTTTAGATTGGTTTGATTTATTTTGTTTTACGGCATATCAACCTCAATGGGTTATTTATTACCGACAACGGTTTTAGGATAGATTCATTATGAATAGAGTATGTATTCTTTGGTTTAGATTGGTTTGATTTATTTTTGTTTTTACAGCATATCAACCTCAATGGGTTTATTTAATACCGACAACGGTTTTAGGATAGATTCGTATGAATAGAATATGTATTCTTTGGTTTAGATTTGGTTTGATTTATTTTGTTTTACGGCATATCAACCTCAATGGGTTATTTAATACCGACAACGGTTTTAGGATAGATTCGTATGAATAGAATATGTATTCTTTGGTTTAGATTGGTTTGATTTATTTTGTTTTACAGCATATCAACCTCAATGGGTTTTTTAATACCGACAACGGTTTTAGGATAGATTCGTATGAATAGAATATGTATTCTTTGGTTTAGATTGGTTTGATTTATTTTGTTTTTGCGGCATATCAACCTCAATGGGTTATTTATTACCAACAACGGTTTTAGGATAGATTCGTATGAATAGAATATGTATTCTTTGGTTTAGATTGGTTTGATTTATTTTGTTTTACAGCATATCAACCTCAATGGGTTATTTATTACCGACAACATTTTTTTGGATAGATTCGTATGAATAGAATATGTATTCTTTGGTTTAGATTGGTTTGATTTATTTTGTTTTACGGCATATCAACCTCAATGGGTTTATTTAATACCGACACAACGGTTTTAGGATAGATTCGTATGAATAGAATATGTATTCTTTGGTTTAGATTGGTTTGATTTATTTTGTTTTACGTATATCAAATACAATGGGTTATTTAATTTGACACCAACGGTTTTTTTTTTTGGATAGATTCGTATGAATAGAATATGTATTCTTTGGTTTAGATTGGTTTGATTTATTTTGTTTTTACAGTATATCAACCTCAATGGGTTATTTAATACCGAACAACGGTTTTAGGATAGATTCGTATGAATAGAGTATGTATTCTTTGGTTTAGATTGGTTTGATTTATTTTGTTTTACGGCATATCAACCTCAATGGGTTTATTTAATACCGACAACGGTTTTAGGATAGATTCGTATGAATAGAATATGTATTCTTTGGTTTAGATTGGTTTGATTTATTTTGTTTTACGGCATATCAACCTCAATGGGTTATTTATTACCGACAACGGTTTTTGGGATAGATTCGTATGAATAGAGTATGTATTCTTTGGTTTAGATTGGTTTGATTTATTTTGTTTTACGGCATATTAAATACAATGGGTTATTTAATGCCGACAACCATTTTGGATAGATTCGTATGAATAGAGTATGTATTCTTTTGTTTAGATTGGTTTGATTTATTTTGTTTTTACAGTATATCAACCTCAATGGGTTATTTATTACCGACAACGGTTTTAGGATAGATTCG